CCCCAAGTCCCTGACCCCCACACCTTCCAATGACCCCTTCCCCGCCTCCCCACCCACCTACACCCCTGCACACCCCTTGTCCCTTGTGCAATCACCTCGGTCGTTCTCATTGTAGCGGGCGAGCTCAATGGAGTACGGAGTGTCATCCGGGATCTCCACTCTCTTGCCCTCCATGCCCTTCAGCTCCGCCGCCACCTGCAAGGCGCGGTACAGCACGGTTCGGCACGGTATCGCACGGTTGAGCATGGCACGGCATGGTACGGCACGGTACAGCACGGCATGGGTCACAGGAACAGAACTAGGCGAGGCAGCATGGCAGCATCCCTGTGTGGTTGTGGCTCACCTTGGCACAGGAGGTGGAGCAGTGCCATTCCACATCACTGTCGAGCACTGAGGCATGCACCTTCACGCCCTGCACCTCCTCCGCACAGCTGATCATGCATTGCGTATGATGCATGGTGTACGGGGTTACAGGACGGGGCAATGGGTGGATGGGGAATGGGGAACGGGTGGATGGATGGGCATGGATAGTGTTGGGATGGTTGTGAGGCATGATGAGGAGTAGATGTGAGATAAAAAAAAATCAATAGCGGTATGAGAGAAACAGTGGTGGGGAAATGGGAGGGAAGGAAGGAATGACTAAGAGGACGATAGAACAGTAGATGTAGGGGGAAGTAGGACGATGGATGGTCCGGAAGGGTTATTGTGATGGTGGGCAGGGGGTTAGGAAACGTTTGAACGGATTGCTGTGATGACCATACGAAAACAAGAAGGAGAGAGGTGAGTGCATGGGGCTTACCTCACATGCCATTCTTCGCAGCAGCATGAACAGATGAGTATGCACCTGTGAGGAGGATTCATAAACGCGAGCACAGACACGCATGCACACATGCACGCACGCACGCACGCACGCACACACGCACACACATACACCCAAACACACACACACACACACACACACACACTCACACACACACACACACTCACACACACACACACGTGTAAGGGATGGAAGAGGGAGAAGGGGGCGAGCAGAGAGGTGAGGGACAGAGAGTCCTGAGGTCTGAACTGAAGGCAGAGCGACCAACCACAGAAAAGCTACCCAGCAAAAAACAGTAGAAAACAGACGAGAAAGCCCAGGCAGTTGAAACGTGAAAGCGTGTACCTAGGGCCAAAGCTGCGAGTGTAGTCATGCACGCGGCAGTGCACACAGTAGCCCTCCTCGTCATGTATCTCCTGTGACAGGTGCACCGGCTGCTGCGCACTCGAACCGTCGCCCTGCTGCTGCTTCTTCTGCTGCTGCGACGCAGTATACAGTGGGGAAGGCAATCGGTCAGTCAGTCCATGAGCGACCCGCGCCACAGACAAGACAGAAAGCAGAAAGAGAGCGAGGGAGAGAGAAAGTTTCCTCAGCGAAACGCTTCAAGTTGATGCTACTGACTGAAGTGCTGGGAAGCACAGCAGCTAGAAGGGAAAGCGAGATGTGAGGAGAGCCGGGCCAGAGGGAAACAGGACCTCAACCCATGGTTGCTTACAGATGCTGAGGTGTCACCAGGGAGCCCTCCTGCTGCTCCAGTGCACCCAACCGACTTGCCCTTGGTCCTGCTGTGGATCTCCTGAGCCTCTGCTAGCGCTGCCTTGAAATCACTGAGCTTTTTCTGAGAGGGGGAGATGGGAGGAGAACACACGGATTAAGGGGACGAGTGGGTGAGTAACCACGCGAGCGTGCAGCAGCAAGTGTGCAGGTCTGCAGGAGAAGCGCTGGGAGTTTGAAGCGAGTTCGTTTCTAAGTCTCCCCTCGTCAATCACATGCACGCACCGCGTTCACCCATAAGTGCGTGATGTACATGTGAAGCATCGCATCAGTCTCCTAGGAGATCGCGTCAGATCGCGTGAGGTTGCATCAAATTGTGTCAGATAGATCAAAAGGCGGCTGCGTCTGTACCTTGGGGCATCGCGTCTGCTGGCTGAACTTGGCGGTGTTGGCGTTGGTCCACATGAATATGGCACTCGGACTCACCCACGCCGTCATCTCGCACTGCCACGCCGCAGAGCAAGTGGAGCGAGAGAGCCAAGAGAGAGCGAGTGGAGAAGAGCGGAGAGAGAGGGGGAGACACAAATAGACAAGCATTAGCGACATCGGTCGTCATGTGCTCACACAAGTTCACTAAAATCCCGCGCTTGACGGTTATTCCTGTACTGTACGCCTTTCTGACTAATAAGCATACTCGGCGGAACTATATTCAAGGCATGGCACAATTGATCCATGCAATTCGCCAAAACTAGTTTCCAGAATCGCCATGAAGACACATCGCATCGCGATCGTCACTCGTCTCTGACGAGCAAAGCGTTCACGGCGATCCGCGAAGCCTGTCGCAGCAGCGTACCTCGCCCCCGAGGAGTCGCACGGGCACGTGGTCGTCGTCTCGTCGCCGCCGTCGCTCGGACGCAGGCAGATCGTCGCGCGACACGATCTGCGACGGCCAGACAGCACCCATGCCGCGGTACTTCACCCACACGACCTCGCCCACGCCCAGCATTGCCGATGCGTCACGACGAGATGAATCTAGGCCTGGATTCCGGTCCTAAATTTTCCGCCTCAGTAAGATCTCGATTCTGATCTTGGTTTAGTTGCGCTGATATAACAAGCTGTGATACTACTCCAAGCCGCCGTAACTCTCGTGGGAAAAGTGTCAATCTATTTCCAGGAACTTTCACGTCTACACTAGGATGCAGGAAGAGTGAAGATGGAGGCTCATCGTAGACCGGGAAGTGCACAAGTCGAAGAGGTTTTCGGAGGTCTGCGCGTGAAAGTGTTAAAGTGGTTCCAAGGGGTTGAATGCATAATTCGTGTGAGCCATTGTGAACTGGAGCCAGCGTGAGACCCATCTCGAATGATTGATAGTTCGAATGACGAAAGTGCATTCTCGAGGGCAATCGAAACAGGTAGTTCCCTAGATATTGAGTCTGTCCTGTTAAAATGGGAGAGGGCGAGCCATTGGGAGTGCATCGACCTCCTCTTGCCTGATTCCTAAGCCATTGAAACTGCCCCAGCGCCTCGGTTTCCCTCGGAGCTTGTGGATCACCCGTCTGACACTGGAATTCGCAAAAGTGCTTCTGCATAAGCGCCCTCGCAACACGATTAGAAGCGTTACTGCAAGATGAGAGAAATTTAGTGTTAGTGATCCAGAAATTCACGGCAGCATACCGTTCTCTACCTCGTATACACTGTCTGAACCGCACTGACACCTCCGAGGACATATGCATGGGGGATGTCACGACCGACTTCCCAGCGCAGTGCAACCCAATAAATACTTCTGAACCGTGTTTTACCATATTGGACCCTACGTCAGGCATCCGACACCCATCCATCTTCCCACACCCATCAAATCTGCACAATTGCAGAATGACAAATATGTTTGCCTTCCCCGCAATGCACGAAATTCTTTCGCGAACCAAGTCGCCACTCAAAGACTATCATTGTGGCTGCAACACTGTTTGGCGAAAACTCGGTTTCTGAATGCCACTGAGGAACGGCAGACAGCAGAAGTTACCTGTTGAGATCGCCAATTCGCCAAACCATGTCTCGAGCTTCTCCTTCTGGCAGGTGATGGGTTTACAGCTGCTCCATCGCTTCTCTCTACCGCCGCTGATGTCAGACCCAACCAGACAGATCTCGACTTCCCATCTCTTCTGCACTGGAGCGGCTCAAATTAGCAGCACGCTTCGGAATACAGATCGCGGCGGTTGAATGAGCGGAAGTTTTATAGGCCACGTCACAAGACCTTCAAAATTCGTGTGTATTCCCGCGTTTTTTTTTTTTGCTGTCGAAACAGCATACGTGTCCCAAATTGAGGATATTCTGGTTGGATAGTGTTTTCGTTGGCGGTCCAATCAAACGTTGGGGCTCATTTGGCGGTCCAATCAGAGCTGATCTTCATGTTGTCGGCGATTCCTTATGATCCACAATCGTCCACGTAGTCCACGGTGGCATGTTTGGGACCACCTTCGAAGCCAGCAAAGCGAATATTCGATCCGCTCACTGATTCCAACCGCTGACTGATTCCAGCCGCATCCCAACGGTCCAAAATTAGGCATTCCACGCATCTTCAGTCTCTCTTCGTATTCCGGCTCGTCTTCTCGTGATTTTTAATTAGATTCCGTAGCCTTCCTGGCACTTCTGCTAATCGATCTTGGCTTTTGATCGCGCTACCAGTTTCGACCCTTCACCATCTTCTCACGTCGACGCCGTTCAGCCTTGCCGGGATCGTATGGTCGGATCGTGGAGCTTCATTATCGCGACCGTGGGAGTTTCTGCAACGTATCGAAGCTATGCCGATCTGCGTTTTTTCCTCGACCTCGTCGCGACGCCAGCTACGACGTGGCTGAAGCGACATCGATATCCCCGACTTGTTACGGTGAAGGTTGAAAGTATCACCTTTCACCACCACTCACCACAGAGCCTCCTCCCTGGTAAAGGTTTGGTACAGGTTCGGTACAGGTGCGGTAAAGGTTCCCAAGGTGTTTGGTTGGTACTGGCTCTGTGGTGGGGCAGCACGTGTTTCTTTCACGTTTACAGTCTTCATTTCCTTTTGCTTTCTTCACTTCCGTTTACTGACCTAATGTTATTTATTATACTTGCAGATGCTAATGGAGGCTGCAAGGCGTACTTCCGAAGCTTTCAGAGGAGCAACAGCTTTCGTGGCTCCATTCTTCAAGGCGTCCTCGTCCTTGTCGCGACGCCAGCTACGACGTGGCTGAAGTGTCATCGATCGACCAGAGGAGCAGAGGAGCAGCTCCACGAGTCGTCCTGGTGAAGGTTAAACGTATCACCTTGCACCACCACTCACCACAGAGCCTTCCCCCCCGGTTAAGGTTTGGTAAAGGTTCGGTACAGGTTAGGTAAAGGTCCCCAGGAGGTATTTTTTTTCGGTACAGGTTGGTACTGGCTCTGTGGTGGGGCAGCACATGTTTCTTCACTTCGCAAAGTCGCTTTCTGCATGCTTTCTTCAATCCCGTATACTAACTACATGTTTTTTTCTACACTCGCAGGTTCTAATGGAGGCTGCGAGGCGTATTTCCGAAGACTCAAGAGGATCAAAGGCCTTCGGGGCTCTCCATGCTTTATGACAGAGGAGCAGCTCCACGAGTGAAGGTTGAAGTATCACCCACCCTTCATACTTCACAGAGCCCCCCCCTGGTTAAGGTTAGGTACAGGTCAAGGTTGGTAAAGGTTCCCCCTGAAGGTTTTTCGGTTGGTATTTGGCTCTGTTTTTTCCACGCTTCTTTTCGTTTTACATGCTTTATTGCCCGACCTTTACTAATTCTTCTCTATTTCCATACCTGCAGGTTCTATCTGAGGGTCTGCTGCGATGACTTCAGAGAAACAACGTCGTTTGGCGGCCTTCCATGCTTGGTGGCGTACAACAGAGGAGCAGCTCCAGGGCAGGTGAAGGTTGAACGTATCAACCACCCACTCCACACTCCTCAGAGCCACCCCCCCTTGGTTCAGGTCGAGGTGATGGTAAAGGTTGAGGTTGGTAAAGGTCCCCCTAAGGTTTTTTTATTGGTATTGGCTCTGTAGGCAGTGCACACTTGCACCACAGCAGCACCGTCCGTTTCTGCATTATATATTTACTGCTGTGTATTAATCAGTTTCCTTGATCTATGTGCAGGTTCTATTCAAGGCCTTGTGCATCGCTCCAGATGGTGTCATTGGAGCTCCAAGGCGAGGTGAACGTACCTGCCAACAGCACCTGGCAGGTGCCTCCTCTCTCTCCATCAGCTGTAAGTCCCGTTTTACTTCCTTTTAACCACTTGCTGCATGTTCGTTCCTTTATTTTTATTGATTATTTTTTCCTAACTCGGGTTTTCTGACTTCACTTGGCAGGTTGCTTCATTAACGGATTTCAGCAAGCCCAAGAATCAAGATTCATGAAGGCACCATGGCCTGCTGAGGCATTTCAAGGCTCAACAACCATGGAAGATAGGTCATCGACCCCATCGACTTTCCTTGCTTTCTTGCAGATTCCTTGTTTTCTTTTTTCGAGTTGTGCTTCAACTCCAAATTGACTGACTTGCTTTCATGGCAGGTTCTCCAACCCCATCTACAGGCCATCTACCCCCAAGACCTTGTGCACCACTGCACTCTCCACCAAGCCTAAGATCCATGGGATGGGAGCACCATGGCCTGCTCTCGCCCCTCAACGGTCAACCATGGCGAGATAAGTTTTCAACCCCAGCCATTTCCCTTGCTTTATCGCTTTACTCCACACTGCTTACCCCTTTGCTTTCACCCTTGCTGTCCTTTCAAGATGATGCCAGTCACTGACTTTGTTTATTTACCTCGTGGCAGGTTCTCTCCAAGGGCTCTCTGCACTCCCATGGAGCTCCAAGTCCTTGCGCACTGCTCAACACCTCCAACTCTTTAACTTCAGATAAGTCTCTGCCCTTTACTTTGCACTGAGTCCATTCGCTGAATCTTTTTTTATTTAGTTGTGTTCATCATTTTGCCTTGACGCATGCTGCATCCTTGCTGTTTTTAAAGAGTCTGGACTAATATCTGTCTCTTGTACCATGCAGATGGAAGGCAGTGCACGAGAGGGGTTGAAGCCTTGAGCATTGGCTGGGGACTCGATTCCGGGCCAAACCGGACTGGTTCTGTCCCCCTCCTCCCACACCACCAAGTGACAAAGCTGTCTGGCCAGCAGTGATGTCATGTGGTGTGGGCGGGGGTGGGCAGAGTCAGTCCCTAGTAGGGCACCCGCACGTCTTGGTCCTGGCAATGCTCAAGGCCCAACCTTCCTCTCTGCCTGTGCAGTGCACTGCCAGTCCATGCCGGGGTGGGCATGGATGGCATGCTGCCATGGAGTAGCTGTGGACCTGTGTTTGATAGGATAGACAGAATTGCATTGGCTCAGCAGCAGTGTACCTTTGGATTTTATATAATTGTTTTACAGAATGTACACTAGTGTAGCAATACTACTCTGGCTAGGGCGTAAAATGTCTTGCAATCTGAAATATTTCTGGAGATGTATTCTTGAAAAAAAACGCAATTCTACAACCTGTTCACGTCAGTGTTTTTCTGGCCTAAAGGAATCAACTATCTAGTGCAGATTTGCAATTATGCAGACTTGCAATTATGCAATTATACAAGTCATCACTTGTACCTAGTATTGTTGGAAAACCTTGCGAGAACATTCTACGATATCAAAAAGCCTTTCTGAAAAGCACGTAATCGCATGTCACCGCATTGAGTGCACTCTTTCGAAACTCTCGCTTCGCTTGAACTGTACCAATCTGGTCTTGGCCAACTGACTGGTGAACAATCAGACCTCATCCGGACAACCTTGAAGTTGGTGTGAATTCGTCTCTGTCACATCTCTTGAGCAGAAATCCGCATCCCATTTCCATCCCAAGGCGAAAACGAGAACGTGAAAGCAGAGGTTAGCTCGGCTCGCGTCGCGTCGATATATTCGAAGCCGAAGCGTCGGAAATGTCGATGCTGCTGTCACATCGCAACGCAGAAGGCAGAGCGCAGCGATGCCATGGCGAGTTCGGGTCGGGTGGTACAACCAGCCATTGCCATCTGCGCGTTCCAGACGAGCAAATCCGCCTGGTCGAGCTTGATCGGTACAATCGGAGCCGTTTATCCAGTCCACGCGTTTCGGATCTCTGCCAGGCCTGATTCACGCGGCGTTATTAACGAAGGACTTGTCTCGAGTTCCGCGCAATGGGGGAGAACCGTCAGGATAGTGGAGATGGAGAGAGAGGGGGATCGCGAGCGTCGTCATGCGTAACGCTGCCATTTCTTTCCGTGTTCAAGGCTCCGACTGAACTTGTCGCATTTCACGCAGTTTTCGCGCTATAGTGCTCAACGACTGACAGAGGAATGGAGCATTTAGCGTAAGCGTCCGTGCCTAGCGTAAGTGTCCGTGCCTTATCGTAATCTCCTTAACTTCTCTTGACCTCCAACGGTCTTCGTCCGAACGACCTTCCTTTTCAAGGGTGGTTGGTTCCAGCGGCCTTATTTTTCTCATTCTGTGCTGCGCGTTGCAAGCGCTAAGCTGCACACAGCAGCCGACAGCAGGAGAGAGTAAGAGAGAGCAGCAAACCGCAGCCGCATCCTCGCCCTCCCCCGTGCCTCCTTCGCACCGTTCCGCGCAGATTCTTCCGCGCCGATATTTTCCGCGCGCCTCGCCGTCGCCTGCTCCGACGACGCTCGCGATGGGCGACGAGGCGTGCGACGAGGCGGGGGCGTCGCTGCTGTGGCACGAGGGCGAGCCGGAGTGGGCGCAAGTGGCGGGCATGGCGAGCGACCTCGTCGTCACCATCGGCCAGCGCGCCTTCCACGTGCACCAGTACCCGCTGTACGCGTTACTAGCCTTCCACGTGCACCAGTACCCGCTGTACGCGTTAATAGCTCCCGTTTCACGTGCGCCAGTAGCTTCTGTACGCGTTACTTGCCTTGCTCCGTCAGTACGCGTTTACGCCCTTGCTTCACGGTTCAGACTCTCTAAACTCTCCCTCCGCCCGTCCCTTCCTCTCCTATCTCCCTCCTTTCTCTTCCCTTCTTCTCCCTCCGCTCACCCTCTTTTCCCTCCCATTCCACAGCTTCTCCCTGTCAACAGTGATAGCGAACGCGGCAGCAGCATCAGGCGAGGGCACTGGCCCCATGCAGGCAGATCTCTCCTTTCTCCCCGGTGGTGCACTCTCCTTCATCCCCATCGCCTGCTACTGCTACGGCCGCCCCTGCCGCCTCTCGCCCCACTCCGTGCTGCTCGTGCGCTCCGCAGGTACTGACGCCTTCGTGAGGTGGGAGGGCAGGCGTGGGGGTGGACGGGAGTGGGGAGTGATGCGGGAGTGTGGGAGTGTGCGAGTGTGCGAATGTGGGAGTGCAAGTGAGGTGATAACCTCGTTCTTTTTGTTCCAGTCTTTGCAACTCATGCTCTTTCTATCCGCCCTCCTTATCTTCCCTCTTCTCAACCCCCCCGTCTTCTCACTCTCTCTCCCTGGCAGCGTCTCTGCTGGAGATGAACGCGTGTGGGCCCAGCCACGCACTGCCGCTGCATTTGAGGCACCTCAACAACCCCCTCCCTCCCCCCCTTCCCCTTTCGCCCCCTTCCCGTTTCGCCCGCTTCCCCTGGCAGCGTCTCTTCTGGAGATGAACGCGTGTGGCCCCAGCCACTCACTGCCACTGCCGCAGCTGGCGTCGCAGCGATTGCAACACTTCCTGCAGCACTGGCCGCACTGCCTGCACGTGCTCTCATCGTATGTCTGAATAGTTAGGGGAGAGGGGCAGGAAGGCGAAGGGAGGGCAGGAGAGAAAGGATGGGAGGGGAGGGGAGGAGAGGGCAGGAGAGAAAGGAGGGGAGGGGAGGGGAGGGATGGGAGTGTAAGGGGTGGGATTGGATACTGGATGGAGATGTGTATACCATGCCATGGCTGCATGGCATGTGACGCACATCCATTCACTGCACACGAATACTCTTCCTCATGCTCGTTCCCATGTGGGCTGCTGACCCCCCCCCCCCCTCCTCCTCCTCCTCCCCCTCTCTCCTTGTGCATGCATATGCCCGGATAATCCTTGCTCTCTTTCACACACTCCCCTTCACACGCTCCTCTTCACTCTCACCCCGACTCGCTGCCTCCCACCTAACCTAGTCATCACCCATCCGTCTCCCTCTGACTCCCTCTCATCTCTCTCATCTGACTCTTAACCCACTGGTATATGTCATTCCGCATTGACCTTCCGTCCCCAACCCTCTGTCTCTCTCTCACTCCATCTCTCTCTAATGGTCCTTCATCTAATCTTCCCTCCATCTCTCTCTCTCTCTCCCCTTTTCTGCCTTCCTAACAACCCCCGTTTTCCCCTCCTCAACCCCCTCCTCAACCCCCTCCTCAACCCCCTCCTCAACCCCCTCCTCTCCCCACCTCCCCATCAGCTGCAGCGCCCTGTCACCCTCCAACGATGCCAGAGCAGCACGGGCTGCGGCTGCTGACGCTGCTGCCTCTCTGCTCATCGCTCGCAGCAAAGGTGCTCGTTTTGTTTTCTGCGCATGTAGAAAAATCATATGCTCAGTTTAGTGATACCGTGCTGCTGCCTTCATTGATCGAAAGCAATAATACAACGTCATTTCAATAGCCCTCACCTAGAGAGCATATGCTCAGGACGCTTTTCGTTCATTCAATCCGTTCAATTGAGGCACTCCAGACCAGATGTGGTATCGGATATGGTACTATGAGCGTCTTCTGATGTCTTCACTCTTGCATCCCCTCCCTCACATACACTACCCCGTCGCAGCAGCAGCAGCAGCAGCAGCAGGCGGAGCATCAAAGAAAGCAGGAGGCGGGGCAGCAGAGCAGCAGGGCGATTTGATGAAGCTGGCTCTGAGGGACTTTTGCCTCGTGCTCATGAGTCAGTGCCTCACTGCCTTTCTGCCTGTGCTGTGCTTCCCTGCCACCACCTTCCCTGCCACCACCACCACTACGTCACCATCACCACACCACCTCTCTCTGTCTCTCTCTTGTTCTCACTGTCCTCATGCACATCAAATTTCCCACTTCCTCGTTTTTCACCGTCACCACACACACAAAATTCCTCCCCACGTCACCACTCCTTCGTCCCTTCTTCCTCGTCCTCCCCTCCCCTTCCTTCCCTTCCTCCCTTTCCTCCCATTTCCCCTCTGCCCCTCTCTCCGTACACCCACCCTGCACTGCTATGTGCATGCAGGCGCACAGAAGCAAGGCATGAGCACGCAGCAGCTGAGCATCCTACTAGAGCCCTACTACTGGCAGTGGGCGCATGACTGGCGGAAGCAAGGACAGCGGAGACAGCTCAAATCTTATTCCTCCACTTTCTCCCCATCCTCTATCTCTCCATGCAGGCGCGCAGAAGCAGGGAATGGACGCACAGCAGCTGGCCAGCCTACTAGAGCCTTACTACTGGCAGTGGGCGCAGGACTGGCGGCAGCAGGGGCACCTGAGCACACGTTTCCCCCCTTCCTCTTGGTATTCTTATGTGCACGCAGGCGCGCAGAAGCAGGGAATGGACGCACAGCAGCTGAGCAGTCTACTAGAGCCCTACTACTGGCAGTGGGCGCACGACTGGCGGCAGCAGGGGCAGCGGCGGCAGCAGCAGGAGGAGAAGCAGAAGCGGCAGTGGGACACGGCGTATGGGGATGTCCCCTTGGTCACTGACAAACTCGACTGGCTAGAAGCTTTCAGGTCGGGGTTTCCTCCCTATACCTGACCGCTCCGCACCCCAATGCTATTACTAGTTCAGTTTTCTTATTAATTGTATAGGTCGAACTCGCCCCCTTTTTGTTCGTCTCTCTTAGTCTCTCTCACCCCTCCGTTAGCCCCCTCCCCTCCTCCCCTCAACACACCATCCAACAGGCAGGCCCTGCAGCATCTCTCGCGTCTCCTCCCCGACCCCGCCACTCTACTGCTCTCCACCGACCTGCTCCTTCAACTGCTGGCAGACGCCTGCCGCTGCGCCATGCCGCGCTCCTCCCTGCTCTTCCTCTTCCAAGCTGCCTCACACCGCCTTACGAGGGACGTTGGGGTAGAGAAGCATCTGCTGCCTCTCCCCATCCCCTATGTCCACGTGAGTTTGTGCTGCACCCCTGTCTATGTGAGTCCATTCTGTTTCGCACTGCCTGCAGAAGCATCTGCTGCCCCTCCCCATCCTTTACATCCATGTGAGTTTCCGTGCCTGCCTGATGCATCCCCTGCCCCGCCTCTCTCTGCCCTTTCTCCAGCTCGGTTTTTTTCTCTCGTCCTCCCTTTTCCCCCCAAAACTGCCTCTCCTCCATCTGCCCACCTCGAATTCTTGCAGGCCATAGTAACGGCGTTTGTGGCAGCTCAGGAGGGACGCCCCCCAGCTCAGTCCCAGAGCGACCTCACCAGAGCAGCAGCTCTCATCGATCAATTCCTGGCGTGCCGCTGCCGTGCCATGGGCCAACCGATGCATGCCACTGCCACTGCTGGTAGCAGCAGTGGCAGCAGCTGTAGCAGCAGCGGCACAGCAAGTAGTGGCCGAAGCGCTAGTAGCACAATAACAAGCAGCAACACAACTACCACCAGCAGCGACGGTGGCGGTGGCAGCAGCAGCAGTAAAGTCGGAGCACGAGTGAGTGCGGGCGAGTTCAAGCGGCTGGTGCGCGCCTTCTCCCCCCACGCACGGCCCAGCCACGACGCCCTGTGGGGTGCTGTGAGCGCGTTTGCAGCCAGCGGCGAGGAGGAAGGGGACGTGCTGAGCGTGTGCGAGCTGATACAGGTGGAGCGCCTCTCTGCGGCAGTGCAGGATGAGGCTATTGAAAGCACCCACACGCCTCTGGCTTTTACCGTGCGTGTGCTCTGTGCTCAGAACCAGGTGAGCCGCTCTCAGCGCATGGGGGTTGGGGTTTGCTGCGAGCGGCGAGGAGGAAGGCGACGTGCTGAGCGTGTGCGAGCTGATCCAAGTGGAGAGAATGTCGGAAGCAGTGCAGGATGAAGCGATTGCGTGCGCACACACGCCGCTGGCTTTCACTGTTCGCGTGCTCTGTGCTCAGAACCAGGTGAGTTGCTTTCAGTGGGGGGAGGGGCGGGTGTTGGGGGCCGGAGGGGGGGGGAAGGGTGGTGGAGGGGTGGGGGTGGTAGGGGATTTTCAGAAAATGGCGTTTTTTTTTGTTTTTTTTGTAGTCAACTCAGAATTGCGTGTACGTGTGTGTATGTATATGTGTGCGCATATTTGTGCGTGAGATGTGCAGGCGCTAAAGACAGGGTCACAGGGCTGGATGGATGAGATTAACAGTCTTAAAGCCCAGCTGCAGCAGGCCCATGAGGTAACACATGGCCCCTGTCTCTCCCCCCCGTCTCTCGCCCCCTGTCTCTCCCCCCCCGTCTCTCGTCCCCTGTCTCTCCCCCCCGTCTCTCGCCCCCTGTCTCTCCCCCCCCGTCTCTCGCCCCCTGTCTCTCCCCCCCCGTCTCTCGCCCCCTGTCTCTCGCCCCAGTTGTAATTCAATCCTGCCTTCCCCTGCTACGCGAACCCACTTCAATCCAATTCAACCGATTTCAAGCCTATTTATGCCACTCCAACCCAATCCAAACAAACTCAAACCAACTCAAGCCACCCTTGTGCGTTCTTGACTGCGTTCATCTCATGTGGCATATTCTCGTCTCGTCTGGATGCCCAGCAAAACTCGCACCTATCTCCATGCAAGTCTATTCACATGCACCCACTCCCACCCCCACTCCCACCCACCCATTTCCACCCTTTCCCACCCACTGCGTCCCACACCAGGAGGCAGAAGCAGAGAGGACCAAGCGGCGGGCAGCAGAGCAGCAGGTGGAGGTGGAGAGGGCAGCAGGGCGGCAGGCGCAGGAGGCGATGCTGAGCAAGGTGCGTGAGCTGGTGGACGAGGTGCGGGGTCTCAAGACCCTCAACTCCGACCTGCGGCAGAACCTCGCCATTCTGCAGGCCTCCATGACTGTCAAGAAGAAAACACTCTTTCTCAAGAAGTAGGAGTAATGGAAAGTAGTAGCAGCACGGGTGTTTGGCAAACGGTTGGTGGTAGATTCTGGTTAGCTGGCACCTGATAGCAGCCTGCGCACCCTCAACTCTGACCTGCGGCAGAACCTCGCCATTCTGCAGGCCTCCATGACTGTCAACAAGAAAACATTGTTTCTGGAGAAGTAACCGCAGCAGCAGCAGGGGGCTTGCAGGGGGGTTGTGGTGTCGTGATATATATATATATAAAAATATATATCTGTAACTGCCTGTAGCTACAGCTTTAGTGTAGTTATTATAAACCCTGTTTGATGGTGCACCTTTCCTAGCTTGTTTGGTTTCTATTTGTACCGTACCCTTCGCTCAATAGCAAAACTCCTCTTTGGCTTGCTAAACTCCCTCGACACTCCACCTCCTACCCAAACCCTAGCCGCCATTGTTCTAAACTTAGCTTACTCTTCTGACATGTGGCAGCGTCAGGCTGTAGGGGTTGTGCAATATTGATGTGGTACAAGCTACGGTAGCTAGCTGTCCTGCAGGCCTCCATAACTGTCAAGATGAAACCACTCTTTCTCGAGAAGTAGGTAAAAGTAGCAGGTTTATGGGACGGTAAAAGGGTACAAGCTTTTCTGCCCTGCGCATTGTTCATTATGGTTAGGTAGGAAATGATTTCCCCTAGGCAGGAAATGTCAAAACATATGCATGTTAGTATCTAGGCTATATTGGGGCTAGCCTTAAGGGGTACACAAACTCACTCGACACTCTAGTCTTGTACCCCAACCTCCACCTAATCACACATACTCTTCTCATTCTAACATGGCATCAGAAGCCTAGGTTAGGAACCTAGGACCACCTTGTACTAAGGGCCCGCCCTTCCGCTAGCGCCCTCGAGCGCCTTCTTCCTTTCGTGCGCCCTCGCGCGCCTCGTTTCCTGGTCGCGTAGCCCGCTAGACGACCGCGCGCGGCCCCCTTTTTGCCCGCGCGCGGCCTCGTTTTTTGCCCGCTAGCAGCCTGCGCGCGGCCCGAATCGCGTGCGCGACGACCATAGGCCGCTCGCGCGGCTCGATCCGCCCACGAGCAGGTCGCTAGCCGCCCGTCGGCCCGCCCGTAGGGCTTCGCGTCGCCCGTAGGCCGCCGCCCCTGCTTTCGTAGCCGCTGCCTGCGCGCGAGTGCAGCCCACGCCCGACCGCTCGCCCCTAGGACGGCGCTCGTAACGCCGCCGCCCGCCCGCAGGTCGCAGCCCGCGCGCAGTGGCGATCGCGCGTCGGCTGCTGCAGCTCGCGCTTAGCTGCAGCTCGCGCTTAGCTGCAGCTCGTGCTTAGCTGCAGCAGGACCCCAGCCGCGGCCTGCACGCAACTGCAACCCTAGGCGCCGCCGCGCACCGTGCATAGGCCCGCCGTTGCGCTGCCCTACCTGCCCGAGCCGCGCCGCCCTGACTGAGCCTACTGTTTAGGGTTTAGGGTTTTGCAGCACCTACTGTCCCTGTTCCTGCTGTTACAGCTGTTCTTCTCACTACAGTTGTTCCTACTACTGCTCTTACTGCCGCTACTGCCACTATGGCTACACCCACAGTTCTCTCTTTCGATGCTGAGGGCCGTCCGCTCCAGTTTGATGCTTGGCTTGACGATCTCCACCTTTTCCTCCAGATCACCGCTAAGGATGACGTCTCGCTGTATGACCACGCGTCCGGAACCGCTCTCGCACCTGCTGACACTGCTGACAGTACAGCTCGCTCCCAGTGGCAGACTCGTGACGCCCACGCTCGCCTAGCCATTCGCAGCCACCTGCCGTTAGATGAGCGCGCGCACTTTGGCCAGCACAAGACTGCTAAGGAGCTGTACGATGCAGTAGTCGCCCGCTACTCCTCACCTGCCTCCGCTACGATAGGCCGTCTCTCTCTGCCCTATCTTTTCCCCGATCTCGCCGCCTTTCCCACAGTCGCTGACCTCATTACACACCTCCGCACCAGTGACACTCGCTTCCGAGCCGCCCTCCCTGCTGAGTTTCTCGCCAAGAACCCCCCACCGATGTACCTCGTTCTCTACCACCTAGTCACCCGTCTCCCTGACTCTCTTCGCGCAGTCAGGGACCACTTTCTCGCCCTCTGCCCTACCGAGCTCACCATTGACCTGCTCGAGAAGCATCTGCTTGCAGCTGAGGCTAGTATAGTTGCTGTAGGTGCCTCTCGTGGCGACCCCCGCACGCCCTTCTTCGACGGGTGTTCCCCTTCCCCCCTTCTCCCCTCGGTTGCCTCTGCTGCCGCTGTCGACTTCCTCGGTGCTGAGGACGTCGGGGCTGCGTCTGCTCCTAGCTGGAGGCGCAAGAGCGGCAAGGGCAAGGGGGGCAAGGGTGGCGGCGGTACCAGTGGGGGAGGTGGGGGTGGCGGTGGAGGTGGAGGCGGTGGGGGTGGTGGCGGTGGTGGGGGTGGTGGCGGGGCTGGGGGGGTCAGTGGCAGCGGCGGAGGTGGCAGCGGCGGGGGTGGCAGCGGCGGGGGTGGTGGCGGTAGTGGTGGTGGGGGAGGCCGGGGTGGAGGTGGTGGTGGTGGCGGCAGTGGGCGTGGTGGCGGCGGCTCGGGTGGTGGTCGGGGTGGACCAGCGCAGCGTGGAGGCTCGGGTGGTGCCCAGCGCCAGCAGCAGCGTCTTGGAGAGACCCCGTCGTCCCAGCAGCTTCGTGAGTGGTACTCTCAGCATGGGGGGTCTGGGGGTGGAGGCACCTGCACGTATGTCATCCGCACCGGTGACCGCGCTGGTCAGACGTGTGGGCGTTTCCACACGCCGCACCGCTGCTTCTTTCGTCTAGACGATGCCTGGCGTGCACAGTTCCCGGAGGCCTCTGAGCTGCCCCGCTGGGCTGATCTGCTTAAAAAGAACATTGATGTATTTGCACTTGACTTTGATGTTATTCTTGGAGCCATGTATGCATTGACTATTAGTGTTGAGGGTGACTGTTACTTGTGTGTGCCACCAGACCCAGGCATTGCGACCAGTGAGGCTGCCGCTCTAGGTGCTAGTGCGTCCGCTGCCCCAGGTCCTGGTGAGACAACTGCTCTAGGTGCAGGTGTGTCTGCTGCCCCAGGTGCTTGTGAGACTGCGCCTTCAGGTACAGCGTCTACTGCGGCACTGCACACCTTCACCCTGGACTCAGGTGCTTCCCGCTGTTTCTTTCGCGACCGCACTGCCCTCGAGCAGCTTCCTAGACCGGTTGCTGTCTCCCTGGCTGACCCCTCCGGGGGTCCGGTTCTTGCGACCTCCTCCACTGTCCTCCCGTGTCCTGCGGTCCCGTCTGGCACCCTGTCAGGTCTTTACCTCCCCTCGTTCTCTACGAACTTGGTGGCGGGCTCTGCTCTACAGGACGGGGGTGTTCACCAGTTCACCCCTGCCTATGAGCGTGTGACCCACTGTACGTGTGCCCGGACGGGTCGCCACCTTGCTACCTTCACTAGGGAGCCGGGGTCGGACTTGTACACACTAACCACTGAGTCCCCTCAGGTCGCTGCGTCTGCGTCTGCGTCAGGTCAGCTGTCGGCCCCCTGCTTGTGTCGCTCCCTGTCCCACCAGACTGTCCTCTGGCACCACCGCCTTGGTCACCCGTCAGTGCAGCGCCTTCGCGGCATGCACCGTCGCCTCCTTGTCTCTGGTCTTCCCCGGGTTCTCCCTCCCCTCCCACCCTCGCCTGCGCCTCCCTGTCTTCCCTGTGTCGAGGGGCGGCAGCGCGCCGCTCCTCACTCCTCCGAGTTTCCCCCGACAGAGGCTCCTCTGCAGACACTCCACATGGACGTGTGGGGCCCCGCCCGCGTCCGTGGACAGGGCGGGGAGCGCTACTTTCTGCTGGTAGTTGACGACTACACGCGTTACACCACGGTCTTCCCCTTGCGCACCAAGGGTGAGGTCCCTGATGTCTTGATCCCTTGGATCCGCACTACCCGTCTCCAGCTGGAGAGGCGCTTTCGCTCGGACCTTCCAGTCCTGCGACTGCACTCTGATAGAGGTGGTGAGTTTTCCTCCGACCTCTTGAGAGCCTTCTGTCAGGGGGAGGGCATTGAGCAGACGTTCACGCTTCCGGCCTCTCCGCAGCAGAATGGGGTTGCTGAGCGCCGCATTGGCCTGGTCATGGAGGTCGCTCGTACCTCCTTGGTCCATGCGGCTGCCCCCCACTTTCTGTGGCCGTTTGCGGTACGGTACGCCGCGCATCAGCTCAACCTCTGGCCCCGTGTCTCTGACCCGGACACCTCGCCGACACTGCGTTGGACGGGAGAGGTTGGCGATGCGTCGGTGTTTCGAGTCTGGGGATCTCGTGCCTTTGTCCGCGATGCGTCCGCGGACAAGCTCTCCTCCCGTACCCTCCCCTGTGTCTTCCTTGGCTTTGTCCCTGACGCGTCTGGCTGGCAGTTTTACCACCCTGCCTCGCGCCGTGTCTTCCCTTCTCAGGACGTCACGTTTGACGAGTCGGTCCCCTTCTACCGTCTCTTCCCCTACCGCACTGCCCCGCTCCCCCCTCCGCCGCTCTTCCTCACTCCAGGTGCTGCTGTGGTAGACCCCCTGCCTCCCCAGGGTCCTGCAACCTCAGGTGTTTCCCAGGTAGACCCGGTCGAGCCTGTCGAGGTAGCTGTCGACTCTGGTCCTGCGCGAGGTACTGAGCCTGAGCGTGCCGAGCCTGGTGGTGCTGGGTCTGGTGGTACCGAGACTGGGGGTGCTGAGCCTGGGGGTGCGGAGCTTGGGGGTGCTGAGCCTGGGGGTGCTGCCGCTGGGGGTGCTGGGCCTGAGGGTGCTGACACTGGGGGTGCTGCGCCTGGGGGTGCTGACACTGGGGGTACTGAGCCTGGGGGTGCTGTGCCTGGGGTTACTGAGCCTGGGGGTGCTGCGCCTAGAGGCACTCTTTCTTCCTTGGAGCTGCGTGAGTGGTACTCTCGGTACTGCCGCCGCCACAGTGGTACTGTGGGAGCTGGGAGTACTGTTGACACTGGAGCTGAGGGCGCTGGAGCTCCTGGTGCTGGTGTGGCTGCCGACCCTGGGGTTGGCGCTGGAGGTGCTGGAGCTGCTGGGCCTGGAGGTGCTGCTGGAGCTACTGGAGGAGCGAGTGCTGCTGGAGCTGGAGGTGCAGGTGCTGACGGTGCTGCTAGAGCTGGTGCTGAGTCTGGGGGTGTTGCTGCTGGGGACACTTCGACAGGAGACCCTGGGACTACAGGTGCC